GGGGGATATGATAGAAACATTTAAATATATAAAGGGATTCAACACAGTAAAGGAGGAGACTATATTTAAAAGAAGAAAAACTACCACAACAAGAGGACATAGTCTAAATTAGAGGGACAAAGGTTTAAAAATAATATCAGGAAGTATTACTTTACTGAGAGGGTAGTGGATGCATGGAATAGCCTTCCAGCTGAAGTGGTAGAGGTTAACACAGTAAAGGAGTTTAAGCACGCGTGGGATAGGCATAAGGCTATCCTAACTATAAGATAAGGCTAGGGACTAATGAAAGTATTTAGAAAATTGGGCAGACTAGATGGGCCGAATGGTTCTTATCTGCCGTCACATTCTATGTTTCTATGTTTCTATGTTTCTAGCCATTTCATTTATATCCTGGGGGTTAAGTAATTTGTTGCAAGTGTTTGCAAATAACTATGGAATTTTAGATTAGGATTGTTGATTGTTGTTTGGGATTGTTTCTGCCTTAACATGGCAGGGAGAGTCTTTCCCACTTGACTTGGAAATACATTTTAAATGTTTGTTTTTGAAGTATTGAGGCGGTCTTAGAGAGTAACAAGTCATTAAGTTTTTTCGTGTTTTGGTTGATATCATCTTGGTGTATTAGGGATAGGTCAAGGAAGTGAGCAATCGTAGCATCCCTGAGTGCTCTTAGCAGTGTTAGGTACTCTTTTTGAAAAGTGTGCTTTTGGTAAGAGGTCAGACGAATAATGGGGCCCCTTACTACTGCTTTGTGTGCCTGCCAGGTAGTTAATGGGGAGATCTCAGGTGTTGAATTGAGGTAAAACGGTCGAATGCGGTTAGCAAGTTTAGGCCTTGAATTGTTTATTCCGTAAAAGTGAATCATTAAGACGCCAGGGTGTGTGTTGTATGTTGTCCTGTAACATTAATGTCACAGAGGCATGGTCAGACCACAGAATATCACCTAATATACACCTCACAATGTACCAGACACCAGGAATACATCAATGCATGAGTGGGTTTATGTACATGGGAGTAATCGGAGTATCTACGTTCACTAAGGTGGAATGTATGCCATGCATCATACAATCCAAACTCATTGATCAGTTTTGTAATTGCTTTACAGGTGTTTTTAAGCAATTTGTGTCAAGAGGAGGAGGCAGGGATTGTGGTATCTACATGAGAGTAATAGAGTAATACACAGTCCCAGTTGCTTTGTTTCCAAAGTTTTTCTCCACCTTGTCGAGCATGATTATGACAATAATATGACAATGTGGAAGCATGAACTCAGAACGGAAGGAACACAGGTGTCCGACACAGCCAGGTAAGAGTAATATTGTTCATAAACAGTTTGATAAATTACCAGTGTAGTGCTTAGAGGCTCCTAGCACTATCATCACCACAATGTATTGGACATGGTGCCTAGGGTGTCCCTTTAAAAAAAATATTTATCTCACTTTGATTAATAGTCTTGTACATGATAAATATACATAAAAAAAACTTTTTATGAAAAGATAAAGCTTGCCCATGGTGCATTTGGTGACACTAGCCATTGTTGAGGAAAAATATATAACCCCTTACTTTTTGGTTACAGTTCAAATTCATCTTAAGTATATAGCAATCAAAAAACACTCAAGGGTCAGACAATAATCTAGATTGACTCTCTGCAATACCATCTTCCATTAAACTACTTTAAGGATGCTATAAATGTTTTCTTCTATTTATATAGTAAAATTCAAATCACAGAAAGTGCATGTGTCTGGATTGACAGGAAGATATAAACTCTTGAGAAATTTATTGTATTGATGCCTTTTCAAAAATGCCCAAACTCAAATACACTTTTGTCTATTTTATATAGTCTGTTAAAGATATATCAGTTTGAGCTAGTAAACCTAAAATTACTAAAATATTATAAACCATAAGGATTATTTGTTAAAGTATGAATTCAAAGTGGAATGCATACCTGACTTAGAGAGTTTTTCCATTTCAACTATTTTGACCTTAAATTTAAAATTGACTTTAAACTAACTTTGAATTCACTTTGAATTCTTACTTTAGTGTGTAACCCTGTATAACTTAATTTCATTCATTCACATTAGTTCTGGATATTGATCATTTCCCACAACTCATATTCCAGAGGTAGACTGGTGTCCGTTCAAGGGGTCCCTCTATCTACACAATCTTGGGGCTGTTGTTTAATCTTGATGACCTTGGGAACTACCGTTTATTTTTCTTTGTAAATCACCCAAAAATCATATGCCACATTTTTTTTTTTTTTATAATTCTTTATTTCAGTTGTGCATGTAAATATATTCCAGCATTTTCCGCCACAGCAGCATCAAAAGAAGCATCGTAATAAAATACAGTGGCATGAGCGACAGCACAATTTTTGGGTATAACAGGTTAAACTGACATGTCCATATCTGTGTTAGTTGTGAGTGGATAATTAGATAGAAATCCTGTGACATGTGGGTAGTTTACAAGTTTAAATAGGGAAGTAAAATAGTAAAACAGGCTAATGCATATTCTGCTGGTATGTCTAAAAAAGTTGCTTAGTCTGATCCTTTGTTTAAGACTGGTTAGACATTACTAAAACCTAAATACTAGGGCATGAATATAAGAAACATATCGTAGGTTGAAGGGCATATGGATTGATACTGTGTGAAGAGGCCCGTTGAGTGCTCACTGCCTAGCCTATTCCCTGCATGGGTTTAGCATTGCACCACAGGTTGGCAACCTGGTCATGGGTCCCAAGCTTTCTCGTGGAGGAGTTATCCCCCTTAGATAGATGTTCACTACTAGGTGCTGCTGTGTCTTCTTCAGAAGGTGGCTGGGCGGCAGGTGAGTGCAACGCACAGCTACTTTGTTACAGGTGGTGTGGGACTGGCTCTAAACCGACCTCCTCCGGCTACTTCGTTTCTTTGAGAACTTTCTCCGGTTAGTGCCCTCTGGCAAGTACCTCTGCTTGGGGTATGAGGATTATCCATCCACTTGAGTGGACGTTGCATTGTAGGCATCATTAGTTTCCTCCACAGCACGTGGGGTAGTGGGTAGGCCTTTCGGCGGGTCATGCTGGATGAGCGTCAAGGAGTATGATGTAAGTCAGGTGATGGGCTTGCGGTCCTTGGCTTCTCTACAGGTAGTCTGCCCTCCAGCTTCATCCATAACTCTGTAAATAGCCTGTCGACCCAGACTTCGATTGGCTCCAGCAGGCCTTGTGTGGTGGAGGCAAGCATGGTGTCAGCCATCTTGTCTGACACTGCACAGTATGCAGCTCATTGTCGGGTAGCCTCTCTGCCGCAAGGTAGAAGGCAGCAGGTCAGTGGGTAAATGCTGGGATATCCCTCACCGGCACGGGGGGGGACGGGAACACCTACCACCTCTAGGTGCTCCAGTGATGATATCCGTGGGGAAATCGTCCGTTTCCCCCAGTAGCCGCGGATAGGCCGCAAAGAGGCTTCGGGTTTAGACCGCCAATCCATCCATGTATCACAACAAAATGCAACAGAGGGATATGCAGAGTGGTCCCTGCATTCATATGTTCAAGATTGCTCCCGATTATAGCCGATTATAATTATTTTTCAGTGTTTATGCATGGAGCTCACACCAAGTGCTTCCATTCTGCTTGGCAGTCAGGCCCCGCCCTCCCATATGTTACATTTCATTTATTTGTCCTAGCATTATACATATAGTGGAGAATGATATAAAACTCTACCCAGTAGCCATATATTGTTTATGAAAGATATGGGGAACATCCAAGAATGTAGTGTGATTTATGTATTTATTTAATTAATTGATTTTTTACAGCCTTCAAGAGCTTAAGGTTATAGCATTACATTGCTGCGATGTCTTGTGGAACTGACAGAGTTAATTTGCAAGGTTTGTTCTGTATACAGAGGGAGATTGAAGGTTTGCTAGAGGGTTATCACTGAAATTAGGCTTTTATTTTTCTCAGATAAGGGATCCCACGATAATAAAAGTAATAATATTTATGGCTGAGGGTGTGCTTGTATATTTTGTGACATGGTTCAAAGTGTGCCCACATGTTTTTGCATGTCTCAGTTTAATATTTTTGAAAAAGATTTTCAAATTATTTAATATTTTTGGATGCACTTTTCAAATAATTTTTTTTCACCATATTAAAATATAAAATAATATATAATATATCAAAAAGATACATACAAAAATATGAAAATATTAAAACATTTAAATATTTTTTCATGATATTAAATAATTTAAAAAGTTTATACTAGAAATATTAAAGCATTTTAAAAGCTTATCCAAAAATATGAAATTGATAAGTACATCTGAGTATTGTCAGATTTCACACTTAAAAATTTAAAGTAACCATGAAATCTAAAAACTTTGCTGTCATTAACGGTCCGCGCACACCCCTAGGGAATGACCAAACAAGAAAAACCTTTTCACAAAAAATCACACTTTCAACTATTAAAAAAAATCACATTTATTTTTAGAAACTGTATTACAACACACCCCATTGTCATTGAAACAATGTTAGCAAAGAAACAAAAAAACTACTATTACCCCATTGGCATCTTGTTCCTTTGGAAAGTCATGGCAGATTTGACTGGCATCAGCCTCAAGTTCTATACCATTTTGTTACCTCCAAGGCTCCAAATTGCCCTAGGCAGTGATGAGTCCTTATACCTTGAAAAACTATTTACGTATGAAACTATGCTTAGCTCAGGACCAAGTAAGGTTACAAACTACTCTGCTGTGTTGTGCTGTGCTAACACCAAACCTTTTCAATGTATGTTCTTGAACTACATGTGTAGTGACACCATAAGGTGGGCGGAGCCATTGTTAGCCGTGAGACACATACAAACAGCACGAGAGACGGAGCTCGTTAATACCAAAGGCATTGCCCGGAGACAACACTACCCGGATACTAATACAAAAAGATAAGTCCTGCGCTCACTCCCTTCACTACTGGTCCGGCAGCAATGACTACAGTACACATCAGCCCCAATATATAGTAAAAACCAAAGAAAAGAAAAAGTTACCTGCACTCTCTCCTTAATACCTATGTATATTTAGACAAAACCTCCATATACATAGGGATTAAGGAGAGAGCACAGGTAACTTTTTCTTTTCTTTGGTTTTTACTACCCGGATATTGCCCGGAGATAACAGATTGTCATCGATATCACCATAGTTGACCGTCTGAAGGCTATATACCGCATATGCTCACCACCTATCTCTAGTAAGGAGCTGTGATATTCATCTCAATGTGCAATATAACACTAGCTTATTACTATATTTCTTTTTAAATTGTGTTAAATACATTTTATTTTTTATCCTTCATCTTTGGACTTTTCTATATTATTGCCATTATTTGGTAATATATTATTTATGTATAACAATATCACACTATTGTGCAATTTTCTCTCTTGTTTTATATTCTGATGGATACCTAAAGTCAAAATAACAGTCTAAGTATATTTGTTTGTGCTCCACTTTTTTCAACTTATACTTGTATAATGTATGCTCATACTTTGGCATAGGACCATCTGTTGTTTCTTATAGCCCATCTTAATTTAGACTATTGCACTAGCACTTTCAAACTAGCCTACTCACATGTTAATTCATCTATATCCTGTTTCTAATACTCCATTCTATAACCTTTATAGTCTTACGATGTCTTAGTATACTGTAAAATTAAACCAGTATTAAAAAAATATGTGAGCTAAATATTTAAATTACATATATCAGCAGTAGAGTGTGGATTTGGTATTGCTACCTCACTCAACCCCATGAATACTAAATACTGTCAGACAGTATATATGCCATGTGGGTCTACATGGAAAATGTATTTATATCTTTCAAAAAATAAGTAATGTGAAACTATATACATAATTTGATATCAAAATTGTTTATATTTTTTTTTTTTTGCATATGGAAGCAGCAATCCTTGCCCCAGCCTTGAACATGAGTATACAATAATATAATGCTGTTTGTGAAACAGTCATTACTGTTAAGAATTATGTTTAATGGATTTGATTGCAAAATACATTTCAAAAAAGATTTCTTCATCGTTTAAGAGTCTGTGAATTGAAGAAATATAAATTTTCGCACATAGTTAAGAGTTAAGAACTATTCCTAGATACAGTTTCCCAAACTTATTAGTGTCAGCCTTTTGGTACGAGGTTATATTTATGCCTGCGGCTCAATTAGTTCTTATTAACAGTTCTGCAAGTGCCTCAGTAAGTGTTAGTAGCAGCTCATTAAAATTACTCTGAAAAGTTGTACTGCGAATGACATATAATGAAGCTACTCCAGATCCATTGTTTACCCTCAGACCTTATTCTATTTTTATAAATTTCCTGCCCTTTAAATCAATGTTCTTTTTCTTCTTCCAATACATTGGTTTTGTTTTGCTTGGTCAATATCTGTTATACTCAATAATTTCTTTTGTTTTTCATATTCAAACCCAGACATATTTTTATATTTCCCATCATCTACCATGTTGATATTGTTTCACCATCCAAAACCATTATCCAAGTAATTTTTCTTCCTGACATGTTCTCTCATGCAATCCAGTAATTCAAAATACTAACGACATTGCTTACACTTTAATGGCCATTGGGGTGATACTAAAAAACTCTAGCTATAAAATATATGCATAGAGATTTTGGATAATGTGCAGGTAACTTCTTTTTATTTTTTTATACTATATATTGGAACTGATAAGTACTACAGTTATTGCTGCAGACCAGGAATGCTAGGAGTTTGAGTGCAGGAATTAATATTGTTTGTTTGTATTTGCCTTTGTTTTACACGGCCACTCCACATGTATGCTATTAAAATACAATAAGTTTGTAGGGGTTTAGAAAAGTACTAATTTTTGCCTTTTAGCTGAATCATTTGTGTTGGATAAGTGGTTTGCCTTAATGTGCCAGGTGAGCTTACTGTTAAATAGTCATTGGAGCGATACTAAAAAAAAACCTCTTGTTATTTAAAGGTGCATAGGGCTTTGGGTTAGAATAGTCAAATGTAGCCAAAGTCAGAACCAAGAGATATACACAACTATAACACGCTATTTGGACTATTCTGAACCACAATAGGGCAATGAGACATGTCCTGAACTCCCATGGCCTTTAATTTGTAGCCACGCCCCCAAAATGTTCTAATTGGAACGCTTTGGCAGGCCATGACATCATTAGCACATGTGCCATGTCATAATATGGGGCGGGACTATCGCAGCTGTCGCAAGAACCTCTGGAAAAACAAGTGTGTGATAGTGTGTGCCAACACATAAGGTTCCCTGACAGCTTTGCTTTCTGTCGACTTGGCCCTAGATTTTTATCTTATTGTGATCTCCCCATCCCCCCCCCCACCACCACCACCACATTTTCCCTTTTAAAGTTTTATAACGTACCTATACAATATTTGTTTTAGCAAAAGTAATCAGATAGGATTATGTTTGCATTGTAGGTTAGTAGCATCATCGGAGGCCAGTGTATGCTATTTGATTTTCATTATAGGATAGTTATAGGTTCTTTAACCCCATGCTGGATGTAAGACTTAAAAGTCTAAATAGAAACACACATGCTGATCATCCCAGAGCCAAACCACATAGGCTCTAAATAAGGCAAGCATGTTATATACTCGCACATGATCTATTTCTTTTTGTACTGTACTTCACTAGAAGTTGCTGCTTCTGTTATTTTCTGTTTTCTTTTGACCACATCTGGAAGAGGTCAGTGTCCCCTAAAAACAAATATGGGTGATTTGAGCCTGTTGAGCCCATATCTGCTATATTCAATTTGAGTGTATAATATATATATATACCTTTACACACACAAAGGTACTTAATATACTACACTATAAACCTCTCATTTTGTCTAGCTTTTTCTGCATTTCACATTCCTTATTGTATAAGGACAAGTGTTTTATTTGTAAACGCTCCACTTATGTGCACTGGTGGTAGCAATAACCACTCAGTTCATATTTTGTACATTTATAGGATATTCATTTAAACTCTGTAAATTTATACAGGCATTTTCTAACTCTTCTTGTACTCACTCTGATTTCCTACCTTAACCCCCCCTAAAATTACAGAATCTCAGGATCTTCTAAATAACTCTTCTACCTATCTCTTTATTTTCTGGATCTTTTTTTTTTCTCATTTCAGACTTATAACAGCCCTGCATACGTTTATTATTACTTAACTACTTCAGGCCTTGATATGTTGTCATCATCAATTCATCTTGTAAATCGTATTAGTCTTACTGTCCGTCCGACCCTACTCCATGTTAAAACTTTATATTGGTTCCTATCAATTTTATTCTTCTGGTCTTGGAGAGAGCGTGAGCCTCTTGTTTCTTGTGTAGTATTCGCTGTTTTATTATTCTATTTGTTGCCCGGTTTAGTTTTTTTTTTTCTTTCTTCCCACTTCATCATCTTTATGAAGAGTGGTGAAAGCCTAGTGTGTCATCCATTTTGTTTATCCATATATATCCCATTCTTCTATTTGCTTGTATCTATTTCTTAGGTTCACAAGGATACCCCTTTCCATTCCTGCTTGCCATATGGCTTGTTTTATTTGTTCGTTAATACTTGGGATTGTCTCTGTTTTATAATTTCATGCTAGTAGTAATTTAGCTGCCGTAATTATGTGTAATATTAGCATTGACGTTCTTTTTGTCATATCTGGCCAATGCAAGTTTAGCAGAATCACTTTGGGCTTAAGAGGTAATTTTATTTCCGTTATTTGATATATTATTGTGACGAAGGGCACTTTGCCACTTGGTCCTGGAGAGGCCTGCTTGCCAGCCTTCTGCCCTGTGACTATGGCCCCTGGGAGATTGTACCCGTTTAAACCAGCATTTGGGCTTATGGACTTTTATTGTACAGTGCTGGTCCTTTAAAAACAGTGTATGGACATATTGAAACTTTTTGGACACCTTTTCTTCCCCTTTGAGTCCCTGGGAAGGTGTTGCTCTTCCCCTCCCCCAGCTCCATTGTTCTCTAGCAGGGTGTAGTCCCAGGGACACTGCCAGACCAGTGGGAACTGGTTTGGGCAGGAAAAGCCATGCTTGCAAGTGATAACAAAGGACTTTGACCTAACTTTTAAACCCCTGAACCTATTCAAGTGAATTTTGGATAAGTTTGTCCCCAAGTTTTACTGGTTAAAATAATATAAGTTTTATGTATGTACGATGTAAATTTACAAAGTTATAAAAATTTATAAAAAGTGTAACTTTTCAGCTTGGAGATAATTGAGTAGATACAATAATTGACTCAATTATCTCCTAAGCAGAGGGGAGGAATATGATGGGTGTGTTTCTATTGTCCCATTGTGTGTGATTGGCTGCTGTACTTGCATTGTATGTGTTGTAATGTGTTTATTGGTTGTTCTGAAAAACCCTGTGGGTGGTACTATGTGTATAAAAGCATAAAAGAAGGTCCATTGGTGCCAAGTAAAACAAATCTTCTTGACCCTCAACACATAGTCTTGTCTCGTGATTGGAGGGGACAGCTATACTCACACTGGGGATTGCTATGCTCTGCATACTCCCCTGAGCTTTAATCATTTAGCTCTTTTAAGAGCTTGTTCCTGATACACTCTGGAGGAGAGATCTTTACCCACACGGTCCTGGAGGACAGAAGCTGATCCAGGGTGGATGGAAGACGGCGAGACTCCCGTTAAGCTACGGCGGTTGTGAAGTCTGCAGTGGTTGTGGTGTCCGGTGCGGTGCTTGTGGTCCTCGGCGCAAGCTTGGAAGCGTCCATCAACGGAAAGGTACTCGGTCGGAGTACGGGGAGTTCCGTTACAATTATCTTAATAACTTCTTTCCAAAATTTGTTTATGGGTGTACACTGCCACCAGATGTGGATCATGTTACCTTCACCATTATTGCATTTCCAACATCTGTCTGATAACTCTGGGAAGATTGTCTTTAAGTGTTTTGGTGTTAAGTACCTATCAGTAACCTATCAGAGAGGCACAAACTAAATCTCAGATACTCAAGGATATAACGGGATGGTGAGATAAACTCACAAATAACAAAGGACTCAGAAATAAAATAATAGAGGTGCTGCCACTGGCAAGCATTTCGGATATGCTAGAAAATATAA